GATGTAGTATAATGTACATATGTATGTACTTTTTAAATTACAGATAATAGTGAAATGGTGGCACTATCTATAGAGACATCATCGGGCGATCTCTATGAATGTGGTGTTTCTCCCACTTCGCTTTCCGGTTGTGCAACCCCAACACCGTCGACATCAGCAGCTGCCCGTGCATCTGGAAAGAAAAATTTTCAAAAGAAATTTTTAGAAAAACTAGATAAAATTGAAAAGGAAATGGAAAAATGTAGTAAAGATTTGAGAGAAAGTGATATAGATTTAAGAGAAACCAGTAAAGCATTTTTAGAAAATGAAATGATAAGAACTCAAATTTTAGATGAATACGTTAATGATAACAAACAAGTAAATAAGGCAATCATTGAATTTTTACAAAAGAAATAAGTATTGATATTTATACTACTTTTTTAATAGTTGAAGTGAGTTCTTGCTTTTGCATATAAATGAATTAATTTTTTGTTCTAGTTAACACAATATGTGGACAGTGAATTGCGAACGAAACTCGGATGTTTATTTTTCAAGTTTACCATATTTTTTAACAATGAAAACAAAGTTAATTCAATAACATAGACCATATAAATTAAAGGTTAAAACTTTGTGCGAAATTCGTTAATTAACAAAATTCAAAAATGTCAAAATCTTAAACTTTTTATCAGAGTTTCCAAAAAGATTTTGGATATGCATAGCTCATTCAAAGGTGCACTTTTTTATACTGAAATTATTTGAGCTAAAAAACTTCCCAGCATTATCTAGAAATTCTGATTAAAAAGTTAGAGATTTTGATATTTTTGAATTCTGTTAATTAACGAATTTTGAACAGAGTTTGAAGCTTTGATTAACATATAAGGTCTATGTTATTAAGTTTGCTGTATTTATATTAAAAAATTAAAAAAAAACTGATAAACTTTGTAATATTAACATCCGAGATCCGTTCGTAATTCATTGGCTACATATTGTAGTTAAACTATGTTTTTTGTGATACAATTACTTGTAGTTAAGTTTTGGTTTTTACAATGAGTTGAATTGGGTTTTTGTTTTATTATTTTAATATACTGAAGTATTATTTTGTAACAAAAGACTGAATTAATAAATAAAGTATTTATTAAAAAAAAATACCAGTTAAAATTAGCTCTACTTACAAAAAAAGGTAGCTAGACTATTTCGAATTATTTCTGCACTATTTTGACGATCGTTGACAGACATTTCTTGTTGTGGATATTGACGATTCCTTTCTATATCCTGCAAAGCGGACATCCATTTTTCGTTAATGTTGTCATTTCTTTCGTTTAAGAAGTTGTGCAGAACACAGCATGCTTTGATAATAGCATTCGTATTTTCGACTTTATTGTCTATACCTTTGCCTATTCGTCGGAATCGGGCCTTAAGATGACCAAAGGCATTTTCAACAACCCTTCGCACTTTCGAAAGCGAATAGTTAAAACTTTTTTCCCTTTCATTTTGCATTATTTGGAATGCATAAGGCTTTATCAATATTTTGCTGAAACGAAAAGCTGAGTCTCCTACTATGAAAACCGCCACATCAACATCTAAAATAGTTCTACTCATTTCGTGAAGGAGAGAACACTGTTCTAATTGTGCCTTCAGCGTTGATGACTCAAAAATTTGGGAATCGTTACACCGTCCTGGACTACCAACATTGATATAAACAAATCGGTATCTAAAAATTCATATGTATGTATATGATGTATCGTCCTCATAACTAAAATAAATGGTCGTACCTTGCATCAACTAACGCGAGTAGGATGGTGGAATACCACCCTTTGTAATTATGATAGTCCGTGGCATCTTGTCTACGAGGATGAATGTCAATATGACAACCGTCTGCAAGGTTTAATTAAAAAGTTATTGACACATACATTGGTACAAAAACGTAGATTTATCCCACCAATTGCTCCCATGCACTGAGGAAAGCCAATAATTTCGAATCCCTGGACTAATTCGGCAATTTTTTGTCTCGTCAATGGAATAGTTGGCATGAAAGTTGGACTTAAAACCTTCCAAGTCTGAATACAAAACTCCTTAACTATTCCACATACAGTGGACTTTCCAACTCCAAACGTGTTTCCTATGGTGCGATATTCTGCCGATGATCCCAATGCATACAAAGCAATGGCTACCCGTTTGTGTAAAGTGATAGCCTTACGTAAAGGGGTATCCTCTTTTTCCAACACTCTTAAATACACACAGCTCAAGGAACGTACTTCTCTTCATTCTAAAATTGCTCTTAAAGAACACGTCACCATTCACTTGACAGTCTACTTCCCAAAACGTTTGGGAACGTTCCTTTGGAAATGAAAAATAGTTAATAAACCTTAGTATAGAGGTGCACAAGCATACTAACTTTTGTCCAATATAATCGGGATTGCTTAGAAAGGTATTGTGCAGACGACAACAACAAAAAATTTTGTTTCCTCAACAAAAACATCTTTTTAATAATAGTAGAACGCCGCTTCTGCAATAGATGCAAATACTTTCTGCTGGTGGATGCATTTTGAAATATTGGCAATGCGTTTAACTGCTTTTTAAAGGCTAATATTTCCAGAAGCTTTCTCTTTTGATCACTCATCTAAAATCTAAAAAATTACCACAAACAACTCAGAATATAAAAATATACGCAATTAATCACATTCGCGATCTCTTTTGGTTAAATAAAAAGTAACACAGGGTTGCTACAAAGCTGTCAAGACAAATAAAGAATCGCGTGTATGAACGCACTTAATTTAGTGAGGTATTTTAAACGAAACTAAGTATTTTATGGTGGTAATGTGAACATAGTTTTAGTATTTTTTACATAATTCATGTATTTATTGTGGAATTTTTTTTGTAGTTAAAATACAGATAAAATTTTATCTATTTCATTGATGTTCAGTTTTACATGGAATAATAAGTGTTGAAGTGAAGAAATAAATTGTTTTTTTTTTATACCCGAGCGCACTTGTGCACAAGGCTATTATAACTTTGTTCAAATAACGGTTGTTTGTAACAGGCAAAACGAATCGAAATAGATATAGACAAATGTATACATAAATGATCCGAATGAAAAGAGAAATCGACTAAGCGGTGACTGTCTGTCCGTCCGTCTGTTCACACGATAACTCGAGTAATAATTGAGATATCTTAACGAAACTTGGTACGTGTACTTCTTTCGGACGTAGGACGGATGGTATTGAAAATGGACAAAATCGGACAATATCCACGCCTACCTCCCATATAACGGTAATTTACAGAAATACGAAAACTGCGATATTTTAGGAACTGCTGAATTTACTCAAAATTGATGTTTACAATACTTTTTATGAGAAAAATAAGAAGATTATAAATTTTTTGAATATGGGCGTAGTCACGCCCACTTATGATTACATGTGCATATCTTGGTAACCGCTGCATCAATTTCATCCAAACTTGGCACAGTTGTTGGCCTTGGTACAGCATACCAAATGGCCGAAAATTTTTAAAATCGGACAATAACCACGCCCACATCCCATATAACGGGAATTTAGAGAAATACGAGATCTTCGATAAATCAGTAAACATTAAAGCTAATTTATTTAGGTGGCCGCTACGGTGTAGTGGTAAACAGTGCGCGCTTCCACTCCGCAGCGCCTGGGTTTAAACCCTGGTCAAAGCAACATCGCAAAAAAAATTAGAAAAAAGGTTTTTTCTTAACAGCGGTCGCCCCTCGGCAGGCAATGGCAAACCCCCCGAGTGTATTTCTGCCATGAAAAACAGCTTCTCATTAAAATACAATCGCCGTTCGGACTCGGCGTAAAACTGTAGGTCCCTCCTCTTTGTGTGACAACATCAAGGCGCACGCCACAAATCGGAAGAGAAGCTCGGTCAAACACTAACATATGTGTAAGCGCTAATCTATTATATTATATTATTATTATTATTCAAAATTGATGGTTGTAACAATTATTTACCGAGAAATACGCTTATGATAAAATTGTGGGAAAATGGGCGTGGCACCGCCCACTTATGATCACATATATGTATCTCGGTAACCAATTTGTACCAAACTCGGTATGGTTATTATGCTTGCCACATAAAAGCAAAAAGTGGAAAATTATTGAAATCGGACCAAAATTACGGCCGCTTTTCATATAATGGTAAATTTCAGAAATGCTTGAAACTTCAATATTTCGAAATTTAAGGACACTAATTTACTCAAAATTGACACTAAAAACAATCCCTTGAAAAGAAGTAA